ATTTGACAGAGAGAGACACAGCGAGAGAGGGAACACAAGCAGGGGGAGTGGGAGAGGGAGAAGCAGGCTCCCCGCAGAGCAGGGAGCCCGACGTGGGACTCGATCCCAGGACCCTGGGATCATGACCTGAGCCGAAGGCAGTCGCTTAACCGACTGAGCCACCCAGGCGCCCAAAAAACATTTTCAAGTAACCAACTTTTTTGCAGATAGATGAGCAAAATTAATACCTTTCCCATGGTAGTTGGAAAATAGAATCACATATGCAAGCAGATCATTAGAAGTTCAAAAATAAAAACTAGAATTCTGTGTTAAGATTCACAGTCTAATGAGCAATAATACTTACTATTTATACTCAAATATATTTATTTAGAGTCATTTAGAGAACTTGGAAGTTTAATCTACCATTATTAGTACACATGGATTTTACCTAACTGATCACTAAAAATTAAAAACACATATTTTTGTCATTGAAATTATCTGGTCTTTCTTTTTCTTTTTCTATTTTAATTCCAATATAGTTAACATATAGTGTTATATTAGTTTTAGGTATGGAATATAGTGATTCAACAATTTTACACATTACTCAGTGCTAATAATGATAAGTGTACTCTTAATCACCTGTTTCACCCATCCTACCCACCCACCTCCCGTCAGGCAAGGATCAGTTTGTTCTCCATAGTTAAGAGTCTGTTTTTTGGTTTGTCTCTTCATCATATGGTGTTTGTCTTTCTGTGACTGATGTATTTCACTTAGGTCGATCCTTGTTGTTGTAAATGACAAGATTTCATTCTTTTTTATGGCTGAATAAAATTCAAACATATATATACAGGCATATCGTATGTATATATATATATACATATATATATCACATCTCTTTTTAAGATTTTTTTATTTGAGAGAGAGAGAACGCAAGCATGGGGAGGGTTAGAGGGAGAGGGACAAACAGACTCCCCACCGAGTGTGGAGCCTGGTGTGGGGCTCAATCCCAGGACCCCGAGATCATGACCTGAGCTGAAGTCAGACGCCTAACAACTGAGCCTCCCAGGCACCCCCATACCGCATCTTTTTTATCCATTTATCTATCAGTGGACACTTGAGCTGCTTCCATAATTTGGTTATTGTAAATAATACTGCAGTAAACATAGGGGAAAAGCATATAACCCTTACAGAGACATCCTTGAACCCTCAATATCCATATGAAAGATGCCACCATCATTTCAAACCAAAAATACCACCCAACTACAGTATATCTAGAAGAAGTGGTCACTGGCTTCTAAGTGATACTTGGAAGTTCCTAGCAGTGTTCTCCAGCTTCTACTATTAGAACTCTTTGACTGCCAAAAGAATCCATATTTGTATGACCACATACTAAAATGTATCCTATCTTATCTTTTTTTTAATTGAGATATAGTTGACATATAACCCTATCTTATTTCTTATAAGACAAAAACTCTTATCCTCATTGATACATATCAATACAAAACTATGAAGCACACCAACTCCACTACAGTTTTCTAAGCCACCGATAACCCACCTCTCCCACCGATGACAACTCTAAACTCCGAACAAATAAAAAACAAACCCCCTCAGAACTGGAAAATAAGCAAAAGCAGTTAAACTAAGTAAAGGAGTCAAAACTAGAAGAAGCAACCTGCCCAGGGGTGAGCTTCTCACTTTTTTTTAATCACATGGTTTGGCCAGAGGGTGGGCCCCAGTCACGGAACAGCAGCCCTGCTAAAACTCTGATAGAAAGCTCATCATCTTTCTGGTGAGAGGAGCCAGGGAAAGGAGGCTGAGGTGGCCAAAGTGTGTAGAGAAAGTCCTGGAGGGAAGAGAGCTACAGAAAGGCATTCCCTTGTTGTGAATGTATGAACCCACACACATCTCAGCCCTACCGTGAAATCATGTTAGTACAGGGAAAACTCAAATCAGCTTAGCAAAGGCTTTGAGAACTGAACTGAGATTTGAAGTCCATTTAGGACTCAGACTAGACTCTAATCCGTATGTATGAAGGATAGACCCAAACCAGCATAGTCAAAGCAGAAGGAACTGATCTGAGACTCAAAACACCACCCACAGACACCTGGGTGCCTCAGTTGGTTAAATGTCTACTCGACTCAGGTCATGATCCCAGGGTCCTGGGATCAAGTCCCGCATCGGGCTCCTTGCTCCTCAGGGAGCCTGCTTCTCCCTCTGCCTGCCGCTCCCCCTGCTTGTGCTCCCTCTCTCTCTCGTTCTCTGAAAAATAAATAAATAAAATATTTAAAAAATAAAAATAAAACACCAGCCACAAAAGGCAAGAAAAAACTTAAGGTATAAACGTAACTAAGACAGGGGCGCCTGGGTGGCTCAGTTGGTAAAACATCTGCCTTCAGCTCAGGTCATGATCCCAGGGTCCTGCGATCGAGCCCCACATCAGGCTCCCTCCTCTGCAGAGAGCCTGCTTCTCCCTCTCCCTTTGCCCCTTGAATTGAAAAATAAATGAGCAAAACCTCAGGGACTTTTGGAATAATATCCAAAGATCTCACATGTGTAATTAGATTCAGGTCTTGGAAGCAAGACAGTAAGTCTTCAAATTACCTTAGAGCTCTCACCAGAAACTATGGAGGCCAGAAGTCCCTATAATATCTTTAAAATTCTGAAAGAAAAAAATCTAGCAACCCAGAATTCTATATGCAGCAAAAATATCATAAAATGGAATGTAAGAAGTGTAAGAGAAGTCTTTGCCAACTAACCTGATCTGAAAGATGCTAAGAGAAGCTTTTCAGGCTAAAGAGAAATTAGATGAAAGGGAAATTTGGATCATCAGGAATGAAAGAGAAGAGTGGAATTGGTATATATTTGGGTAAATATGAAGATCATTTTCCCCTCTTTTATCTGAAATACATATATGTATAGTTTTTAGAGTAAAATGTATAACAATGGTAGATTTTCAATGTATGTAGATGTAAAATATGACAACTGTAGTAACCTAAAAAAAGTTGGGGGGGGTGGCAACATGTGTAATTACAAAATTTGCATCTACCTACCTATTCACCAGTCCCCAGTGTATTCTCTTCATTGCCATTATCATTAATTACCAACATCCTGCCTTTGCTCACATTGTTAACATTGCTGAAAATGCTCTATCTTCTCTCCCCCACCCCTCCATATCCTACTCATTTTTCAAGACCCAGCTCAAGTCTGAATATCTCCACAAACTCTTTTTAGACAAAGATCCAAAGATCACTGAACTACTTATTATAGCTCCTTTTACCCAACAGCTCATTATTTATATTCTACACTAGCATGTTGGTAGAAGTTCCATGTGAGTTAGTCCTGTCTTCCTAGGGCACCTGGGTGGCTCATTCGGTTGAGTGTCTGCCTTCGGCTCGGGTCATGATCCTGGAGTCCTGGGATTGAGCCCCGCATCGGGCTACCTGCTCTGCAGGAGTCTGTTACTCCCTCTCCCTCTGCTCCTCCCCCTGTTCATGTTCTCTCTCACGCTCACTCTCTCTCAAATAAATAAATAAAATCTTAAAAAAAAAAAAAAGTCCTGTCTTCCCAGCTAGATTATAAACTAGGCACATAACAAGAAGACCCAATGTGGCTGTTTGACTGATTAGATTTATCCATGTTTAAAATATATGCCTAAGAATAGGCCCCCATTCTCAGAGTTCATTCTAATACAGTAAAAACAAAACAAAACAATGTATATTTCTCATACCCCACCAACACCAACAATACCCATTCCAAACATGAAATTTGCACAGGGAAAAGCCAAACTACATTAACCATATTTGAATAGTACAGCTTTGGGACATGAGGCACAAGGGCCACTGGGTTTTTCCAGAAGCAAATTTCAAGTTTATGCCACAGCACAGGATACATTTTGTCACTCCAACTTTTCAATTCATGATCTAAACCATAACTTACAATAGTCATTTCGAAGACCAGTAAGATGAATCTTCACTTCCGGCTGGAGTATGGAATAGTCTCTATCACTGACTCTTTTAAGATGGAAGGATTCATCTCTGACTCCATCTCTGCAGCCTATAAAGAACAAACGGCTCCACATATCTTTATGATCCCGGAAGCATAATATTTATGCAGGTATTAAGACATAACAAAGTGAAAAAGAAAGTAATTGTCATGTTAGAACTGAATTACAAGTTGCAGGAGAAGGGAAGGAAAAAAAGACTTCAGTATTAATTTAAACAAAAATTTTAAAAAAATACTTCATGACATGGGGTGCCTGGTGGCTCAATCATTAAGCGTCTGCCTTTGGCTCAGGTCGTGACCCCAGGGTCCTGGGATCGAGACCCGCATCGGGCTCCCTGCTCCGCCGGAAGCCTGCTTCTCCCTCTCCCTCTGCCCCTCCCCCTGCTTGTGTTCCCTCTCTCGCTGTCTCTCTGTCAAACAAATAAATAAAATCTTTAAAAATATATATATATTTCATGACAATTTTTACTAAAAAGCACAAGTGCCAGACCTAAATGTAATATCTTGTGGGAAGCATGCAGAAACACTATATCATACTTTGAATATTTATTCTGTCACTTGAGATTTTAAAATCACAGTAATTTTCGCATATCCATTTGTCTAGCACATCAACAATTACCTGATAGATGTAAGCTCTACTCTGAGACTTTGTCAGTAAATATCTGTGGATTCATTTATTTTGGCTCTTTGTCTCACTGTTTCTGTACCAGCGTACACAGAGTTACTTCTGGCTAGTTTTACCCATGACTGTCTGAGGTCAGGGTCCTACCTTGGGTTCAGTTTTAATTCTCATCAAAAGACCCACCTAAGTCTAAACCACAGGCCACCATCGTTTCATCCGTCCAACCACTTGTCTAGTGATCAAACCGAGAATGACATAAATTAATAGGCACTGAGCCCACCCAGGTAATATTTGGTCTCTATGACCACATGCCTTCTGATAAAAGGCCTAAGAGCTTCACGATGCTATACCAAGAAGTAGATCGTTACTCACTGCCTTGGTGTTAGCCACGAAGACCTGCAGTTGTGGGCAAAACTGAAAGGTTACTAGAAACACTCAAGCACCTCCAATAAAGGTTTTTTAAAAAAACAAGTACAAACTTCCAGTTACAAAATGGAACTCAACACTCAACCGACTGAGCTACCCAGATGCCCTGGGAAGTTACAAAAGTCATGGGGATGTAATGTACAGCATGGCAATTATAGTTAATAATACTGGATTGCATATTTGAAAATTACCAAGAGAATAGGTCTTAAGAACAAGAAAAAAAACTCTGTAACTATGAATGGTGATGAATGTTAACTGGACTTACTGTGGTGATCATTTTGCAATATATACAAATATAAAATCATTGTTTTATGCCTGAAGCTAATACAGATGGCCTATGAATAACATGGGTTTGAACTGCATGGGTCCACTTACATGTGGATTTTTTTTATAAATACCACACAGTACTGTAAATGTATTTTCTCCTCCTTATAATTTTCCTAATAACATTTCCTTTTTTTCTAGCTTACTTTATTGTGAGAATATAGTATGTAATACATATGACATACAAAATATGTGTTAATCAGCTGTTTATATTATTGTTAAGACCTCCAGTCAACAGTAGGCTATGAGCAGTTAAGTTTTGGGGGAGTCAAAGTTATACACAGATTTTCACCCAAGTGAGGGGTTACTTTTCAGAAGTGTGATCTAAGGGGCACCTGGGTGGCTCAGCCGTTAAGCATCTGCCTTCGGCTCCGGTCATGATCCCAGGGTCTTGGGATCAAGCCCCGCATCGGGCTCCCTGCTAGTAACCTTTCAGTTTTGCCCCGTGGGAAGCCTGTTTCTCCCTCTCCCACTCCCCCTGCTTGTGTTCTCTCTCGCTGTCTCTCTCTGTCAAATAAATAAATAAAATCTTTGGTGTGCCTGGGTGGCTCAGTTAGTTAAGCATCTGCCTTCGGCTCAGGTCAT